TTTACTCGGCCTCAAAAAATAACTTACAACTTAATTGTGCGTTTTAAAATTGAGCCAGAGGAGCATAACCTCCTACAACAATAACCGGAATGAAACAATTCAATATTCCGGACCGGAAACATGTAAGCACTATACCTTGCGATTAATAACGAAAAGCGGCGATGTCCACTCTAAAATTCTAGTTAAAGTACCATGATCAATAATTATATGAGTAGGTATTATCGGTATTTGGCAGAAACGCTGATCGTGACACCGACTTTCAATGTTTGTTTACGTTTCCATAAAGGCGCGGGAAATGCGCGGTGGGGGTGGGGAGGAGGAGAGGGGTAGGGGACGCGGCACGGCAAAGGGGGAGAGCAATAATTACGGCATACTCACCGACATATCGTGGTCGCGGGATATGTAATTCTTTCCTGAGGTAGGCAATCCCGCCTCACCTGTCCAGGATGTGATCCTTTGGGGATGCTTCCCGCCCGTGCATCGTTGTGTGGCTCCAGGCGGCAACGCCAGGGAAGTGCCAAGTGACAATAGTGAAATGATCAGGATAATAAACTATGATGCGCGATTTGCTATTAATAATAATTATATTTGGTGACTTTTAAGAAATATGCACTAGCCCGTGTGTAACAGCGTTTGGAGCCGAATCGTATTTGTCGTGGGAGGGTCATCGGCGTGCTCGGGAAGGTCTCCAATGACGTCCCCGGGGGCCCGGACGACATCGGCACTACCAGATTTGGACTCAGCTTGCGAGAAAACCCCCGAACACGATATTTCAGTCGTCCTGGTCTTTCCGAGGTTGACGATCGGTCGGTCGGTCGGCCAAACCGTATCTTATTTTGACAGCCCCGCGGCCCCCTGTCCCTCCGAGCGCTTGGACAAGGCGAGAGCTTCGGAGTGGCATTGAGATCTTTCGTTTTCGCTTTAGTTCTTAGCGCCGTTTACTTCTGGTTGATATTCTAGCATCGGCGGAAGTAATGAGTTCATCTATAGACGGTTCAGTCTAAGCTGACTCGGGCCCTGTCGTCTGTAGCTAAATCGTGTAGCTACTAACAGGGACGTCAAAAAGATGCGTCTGGGCGGGCAAGCCTGCCGTGCGGGGTTGCCTATGCCCCACACGCAGGCGTTGGGCAGCTCTCGGCGCAAGGTGTAGGGCTTCCTCAGGCCCGCGGGGCGGGGCGGGCACGGGCTGAATTTTGTTTTAAGTCAGTCCCGTGAGCTCGTCAAACTTGCAACCCGTGAATCTGATAAATTATGTAATAATATATGATATGTCACCAGCTTGTTCCTACAGAGATCAATAAAAAAAAATCAGTTTGCGGTTGGAAGAAGTTGTCACATTTATTTTCTCGATACCTCCCAACGAACGAGATTCATCACAAATACTTTCAAAATAATTTTTACATCACAAGCATTTTGTCAGAATAACATCGAATTTGATTAGAAAAAAAAATTATATCAAATGCAACGGATGTCACTGCCCTCCAGCTTCTTGATGTTGACCTCTGAGAGGGATAACAAACCAAAATGAGTCAGGAACTCAAATATGTAAATGAAAAAAAAATATTGAGCGTCATGAGGAAAAAGAAATATGCAAGTTCACATTGTTTTAAAAATTTCAACCAGGATTTTGAATGAAACCTGAGTAACAAGAATACTTCAAGAATGTCACATGAAAATTTGAGATATGTAACAAGGACGCTTTCTTACAAACTACTAACAAATGGTGTACAAAAATAGTGAGTCTATAGGCAGTCTATTTTTTTGTAAAGCGTATATACCTAAATGTGCACTGTTACCTACTATGATAGTTGCTTTCTTTGTATCATGGTTATCAAGTCAAACTACCTACAACAAGATTATACATGCACTTGTATTTGTTTCTCAATTATTACTCCTGAATGTCCTTACAACAATTTTTTTATCCTCAACACAACTCTTAATAGCAACAAATCCAACATGTTCAAAATAAACAGTTGCAACACCATCCTTATGCTCAATATTTGCAGAGGCTATGTTAGCAAGACCAAATGCATTTTTACTGATTAACAAATATTCATCTCCCTCTAATTCACCATTTCTACCCCAACCACAATGGTCTTCTGGGAAATGGTACACTTCTTCATTTGCTGGAGAAGGTGAGATACGGGTAATGCAGGATGGTATAAATTCAATATCTGAAATACTTTTGTCAATTATTTCGTCTTCATTGGAAAACTCTCCATTGGATTTGCTAGTGCATATTTCAGAACAAAGCCTTAGTATTTCATTTATGATTCGTACTCCTTCTTTTAAATCTCTACAATTATAAATATCCATTACAATCTCAACAGCTCTCTTAAAATAACAGCCGTACTCCCATCTATTGCATACACGGCCTAAAAGATTCATCATATTATGGACATCAGTTGGGCCAAGACTGTTCAGCAGTGTCTTGACGTCTTTAAAAAGTTTTGGTTCATGAACAGTACTGAGAGTTGATGCTGCTGTTTGTTTAATTGTAATTTGAGAGAGGAAATCAGGTTTATTTGATATATGAGTTAAGTCCCTGATGTTTTTCTGTTCTAGATTATTTTTAAACAATACTTCACTGTTATCTTTGAAATCTTGAATTTGACACTCAGCAACAATAGCTCGAGCAGTTTTGAAATTGACAACTGAGTGCGCAAAAAATAAGACAGATGCTATCAACTGAAAGCTTTGCAGCGCATTCCACTCCTCAGCCTCTTTAATAGCCAAAGCGTTTTCAGCTATTCCCACACCATTCACCAACATTGATGAGGCATTAATTCCAGTAACAACATCACAGATTACAGAGGATACTACCTTGCCTTCTTTCATCATTGTTCTGATGGCCAGGGTTCCACCCGAAGATCCAAGGCCTAAAGCGGAGCCAGCCACAGAAAGCCATTGAGAGAATGACTCTCTGTCCTTTAAACTTTGTCCATGCTTGCCTCGGTCGGCAAGTTCACAGGAACCACGAACAATGCTATATAGTGAAATAGCTCCGCACGTTACTACACAAGGTAATGCCACCGGGGGAAAAAACACTCCGACACCTGTCCCCACACTTAAAATAGATGTTGTGGTGTCCATTGTTTTCAATACCCTTTTACCCAATTTAGTCTCAGGAGTGACACCAAAGCAGAGCTCTACCTCACCTTCACTATTGCCAGAATATACTCCATTCTGTGGATAGGACCACTTGGCCTTTGGTAGCTTGTTATTAGAGATAAAATTGTCCCAACTTTGGTAGATACGACCTTGAAAATCAATAAACGAGTAACCTTCTCCTGTTTCATTAATTTTAGGAATACGGAAAACAGGAAAGTCGACTACATTACCATCTTGGCATTGAATATTTAAGGAAACAAATATGACAGACATCAATATCTTGTCACCTTTCTGAAGTTTTAATATCTGATCAAAAATTGTTTCAATCACCTTTACCTGTTTCTTGGAATAACCAGTAAATGTATTGTCTTGGCTGGGCTGCTCGTTGGGCTCACCAAACACAGCAAAGCCAATGTTGCGTTTTAAGGCATTGATTTCTGAGTTATTGATCAAAAAACCATCATTGTCACCCTCATGACATTTGCACATTCCTTTCAGAAGAAGCATGCAGATGGATGGCAGACGTCTTCTATATGCATCAAATTCACGATCACCTAACCATTGAAAATATTTCTGCTGCCGTCTTTTGACAGAAGCCTCCCATTGAAAATCTTCTTCAGCTTGGGCCATTTTAGACTGCAAACATAAGGAACATAAGCTATTTCCCAGCTTAATAAATAAAATATGATTACTTAAGAATGTTAGAAAATAGGTTAGGAGCATTGCCTGATCTGATGTGAAGTTCAGTACAGGACTTAGGCAGGCACACAATACAATTGTGCAACCACTAATTGTAATGGACTGTGGAACAAATTGAATCAAAACATCTTACCTTGTTGGCTGAGTTGTGGAACCTCGCACGGTGCAGCCACCGACCAATCATGAACCGTCCGAGTTAAAACGCAGAATAGGCAGTAAAACTGAAACTGTTATTCCCCTCGGTTCGCCGTCGCTGTTGCGTGCTTGGCTTGCCATAGCGTAGGCGAGTTCTTCCAGTCCAAACAAAGTCTGCAGGAATGTGTCGTCAGCTTGGCTTGTACACAATGTCACGGAGAGTTACGAAGAGTTTTCCATAAACTGAAAAACTGAGGCACGAATTGAAGGAAGGTCTGTTTGGTCGATACAGTATTACCAAAGCACCCACAACAAAACTCTTTTCTTTGCTTGCTTCATCATCTCCCAAAAAAGAGAAAGAGTGCTTTGAGGCACTGCCTGAGTCAGGACGACTATTTTGTTCCATCGGGTAGGTTGCGCGACGACGCTAGATGCTGTCGCGTCGTTGTGTTGCATTTGCCGCGTTTGGCCAGTCTGGTTGGCATTTGCATGGTGCAGCCCGCGGGGCGTGGGGTATGTCGGACGTGGGGTACTTCCACTGCGCTGGCAGCGGGCGTAGGGTAGAGCCGCATCTTGGGTGCGTGCTGATGAGGGCTCGGCCGATATAGGCAGCTGCGCACCACAGTAGCGTAATTCGGTTGCCTAACCGTGGGGGGCGATTGGGCTTGGGTTACCCGAATCGACTCCTGGACATTTTTTTCTTGTGCCCCCTTGCAATTCAGTCGTAGACCGATATGAGGGCATAACCTCATGAATATGGACGTGCAATACGTTCCGATGAATGGCACGGCACGGACCACAGCTGGTAGTGCGCGGCTGAGGCAAGGGGGGGGGGGGCAGTAGGAAAAGAAACACATCAACGTAAGTTTTTGTGTCTTGTTTCCTTGCCATGTTTTTCTATTATTTTTTTCAGCCCGCTATATTGCCACTGCGGTCTTTGGCCGGGTGCAGCCGGCTCCTGCATGCTCCGATGGGCTCGAGTCGAGCCCCAGTAGGCTCCGGGTGACTCCGGGGGACTCCAGCTCCAGTACGCTCCAGTGGACCTCTGCGTGCTCCAATGGGCTCCTGCTCTTGTCTGCTCCAGTGGACTCCGGTATGCTCCGGCGGACTCTAGTGCACCCCGGCGTGCTCCAGTGGACTTTGGTAGGCTTCAGCAGCGGACATCACTGGGCGGCTCCAGTTACGATCCGGCCACTGGGCTCGGCTCAGCTTTGGCTTAAGACTTTGGCACCTCGGCTCGTGGCCGCGCGCCGCTGGCTGGACGCACCGCAGCCGCCGCAGCAACCCGCCCGCCGCTGTCGTAACACGGGATACACCATGTGAAAGTAACGCACCGGCACTCGAGGTGCGGCGTGGTGGGGTGTGGCCAGGTGGGGCGGGGCGGGGCGTGGTGGGGCCAGGTGGGCACCCCTCAGGGGCGGGAGGCACGGCCGCCAGCCGCACGCCGGTCAGTCCCAGTTGACCGGGCAGCCCGCTCGAGACATTCAGAGCCTCGGCGAGAACGCGTAAGTCTGGAAAAGTCATAAGTTGCTTCGGGGAAAACTTATTTTCGTTTTCGTTTCCCCGTCGGAAATTATTTTAGCGGGCCGAAGCTGAAAAGGTAAGCTAATTTTCTACAACACCTCTCATGTTAATGAGCAGTATCATCGGAGAAAAGTATTCAAAGATCTTTGCAAAGTCCATAGACGAACTCATCTTTAGAAACAAACCTGCGACTGCACTCGTGTCACGAGCGTGGTGTAGTCGATTGGGTGATCGTGAGAGGGTCACCTCCGCCCCGCGTGTTGTAAGCAGCGCGGGCTAGCGCGAATCCTGTGCGGTCGGTCCGGTCTGCCTATAGGTATTGTGGTGTCACTGCGGTGATCAGACTGGCTAGGCCGGGCCGGGTGGACCGACCAGTGGCTGGTTCAAGGGCGCAAGAAGAAGAAGCCGCACTCCGCGGACGCTGCTGACGTAACAGTGCATCTCCTCAAAAGTCGCCGAGGCGGTCGGCGATCAGCAGTGGTTCGGGTTTTTAGACGGGTTAATCAATAACATAGCTCCCTAGAGTAAGTGGCTGAAAACCCCCGTGGGACTTCGTAGTTCTACTGCGTCGCTGACGTGCGTGTAGGTGGATTGCCTACCCACCCGGGCACCCGGGCACCTTAGCTGGAAACACTAGGCAGACGCGTGCAACTGCAAACGGTCGCGCGGATTTGCAGCTATCTCTTCGTGGTTCAGTGCAGACTCTGTGCCGTTTGAGTTCGCCACCAGAAGTGCTCAGCAGGGCGGTGTTCTCACCCTGAGCTCCTGACGCGCGTGCGGCCATCGACCGAGGGGTGGACCGCTTGGATTTAGTGTATTTCGACTGGCGGAGGAAGAAGAATAGCGGGTAGAACATAACCGTTCTACCGATTGGCCGAGAGCTTCCCGTCTCTACGTCACACCGGTACCGGTAGTGCGCTAGGGCAATCAGGAACCTTTATTTTCTACCCGCTATTCTTCTTCCTCCGTCAGTCGAAATACACGATTCCATGTACACACTGAAAAACATTCCAAGAATACTCCAGATACTCCAAAAATATTCCAGATATAACAAAAATATACCAGATATTACAAAAAAATTCCAGATATTACAAAAAAATTCCAGATATTACAAAAATATTTCAGATATTGCACTAAAAATTTTCCGATATTCCGTGTACACCAGACCCCTTGCCATCGACTTGTTGCTTATCACGTCCAGCCAGAGGCGGGTGCAACGCTGGCCTATTTGACGACACAGTGTCACGTATGCCAGGCCAGCGCCGCGGCGAGGACATGGGAAGGGGGGGAGGGAGGGGTTGGTTACAAAATAGTTACCTGCAAGGACGCCGGTGCCCCTCCACCGCCACCTCCTGGATCCAGTTGGGGGTGACGCAATGGATCCGGCTACTGAGCCGTATGGGGGGCAGGAGGGAGGGGCGCAGGGCGCAGCGCTGGACGCCGGAAGCGCAGTCAGTCCAGCCAGCATCTCCGCGAGACGGGCGCGCGCGTCGCTTGCTCCGCTGATTCTCGGCTCGTTTCCCCTCGACAGGCGCAGCATGTCGACCGCCCCGCTCCTCCTGGCCGTCGTGGCCAGCCTGCTGCTCATCAACCTCGGCGCCGCCGCCCCCGCCGAGCAGGCCGCCGCAGCCGCAGCACCCGCGGCCCCCGACCAGGCCGTGGAGGCCGCGGAGAGCGCCGCCACCCTTGAGGACGAGGTCGTGCAGACGGCGGAGGCCGGCGGCCCGAAGAAGAACAAGAAGCGCAGCCAGGTAAGGTGTCATACAGAAAGTATACGTCCCCGTCACTCGCCGCGAAGAACCTGCCAAGTTCAGCCTCCGCAGGCTCTCATAGCGCCTGATAGGTAGGCAGCATCCTCGCTTCAATGCGTGCGTGTACTGCGGGGTGGCCTACCTCGAGTCTCGCAGGCGTTGACCTCCCGCAATTTGTCAAATGAATCTGAATCGCACGCACTGTCTGGATGATTACTTTTGAGGGTCAGCCCTTCATTTTTCTCGGGAGCCCATGAGGACCCCATGAGCGCCTCGCGAGGTTTCTGTCCGCCCCCGCGAGGGCGCGTGCCCTTGGCCCGTGGCGTGTGGCGTCCTTCCGAGTCCTTGACCCGAGCCGCCGTCTCTGTCCTCACAGGGCACGTCGCACGTCGGCAACCTGCTGGCGCCGCTGCTGGAGACGCCCAACGTGTACCCGGAGACCGTGTCCCTCTCGCCGCAGCAGAACGACCCCAAGAAGAAGAGCAACGCCGTGCAGGGCATCCTGCTCAACATCCTGCAGGTGCGTATCAGGCCACCCGTCCGACCTGTCTCTCCTCTGCTCCCTGGGCGGAGAATCAGTCTGTGTTTCTGTCCCCAACAGCTGGGCTGCCGCAACCACGCGCAGCTTCGGCCCGCTGACCGCTTCTATATTATCTGTTAAGCCGAAGCCCATCGTGGACTCGATCCGCGAGGAGGACAAGTACGGCAACACCGGGGACCGTTTCGCCTTCGTCGGTCGGGGAGTGGTCGCCGGCTTCGAAGGCTTCAGCAACATCCTCAACAAGGTCCTTGATGTGAGTGCCCCCCTCCCGCCGCGCCCCGTACTTCACCAACGTTACCAAAACGTGACGCACCCGATCGGCTTCTCGGTTTCAGTTCCCGTTCGAGACAGCCAAGAAAGTGTCCCGCAGCGCCACCGAGGCCCTAAATAACCTGGGCTCCAGACTCATCGGACTGTAGACCTCCATAACGCCAAATGAAAACACACACGTACCTTGAAAACATAGTTTAAGTTTGATTAAGTGTTGTGCCTTGTAAATATTACCTTGTTAATAAAAAAAACTGTTGTTTTTTTCTTCTTTGAAAAAAATCTCTTTTGCTCCTCCGAACGTCTGTAGCGGAATTACGACAACTTCCGAAAATATCCAGACAACAATTTATTGGTATGTTGAAGTGTTTCAAACAGTTCCACAAATTAGTCACAATCTTAAGCTTTAAAAAACTGTTTGTCAATTACACTATTTTTGGCAAATAGAAATATGTAATTATAAACATAACTACTATAAACATCGTACGTATTCAATCAGATTCACATGCTTTTCTACAACCTTCTAAAATCACTTACATTTAATACTTTTTGGTGGGAAGATTTATGAAGAGCAATTAAAAAGGGCCTGATTATATATGCTGTCTTTTCCTCTAGACATCTCAGAGATGTAGCCAGAAAAATATGGCAGAAGAGGAAAAGATCGCAAGAGTAGGAGAAACAAATATTTTCAATCATGGCAACATTTTCTTTATCAAAAGATACACCCACTTAACCTCTTCGATTTGAGGTAAATGAGTCTTACGGCAAGAGAATGAGCTCAATCTGAGATTTTTTCGTTATAAAATATTTCTGTACATTTTCTAGATCAACGCGAATGGAAATACACACCTATACTCCGCTCCTACCTAATTGTATATTATTTAAATACGTAAAGGATATGGGAAAGTAAGAAATCTACAGATTACTTAGTAATCAGCTTAGTTTCTCACTTCTCCACATCATAAACAATAACACGATAAAGCTTTAACATACTGTAACAGACAGTGGAATGTAAACCTAAAAGTCTGAATTGCATCATAACATTTCTACTCAACACCAAATAGACGTAAAAAAAATATAGTCCGATAAATCTCGCTGTACGCGTGCGGTGGAGACTAAATCTTAAGAAAACTTAGCCCTAAACAGTGGTATTACAACACCACATGAACAAACAGTAAAGATTAGATCAATACTCGAATGTTATCACAAAAAAATTCACCCCAGTTAAGGGATCTGTCACGTATTGGCTGATATGGCAAAGTAGATAAATATGTAATGCAGGTTGTCGCAGAAGTCTCATTGACTTAAGATTTTGACAATCACGACATTGTCCTATGGATCTCAAAGCTGTTTGCGACTTCGGTAAAACCATTGCTAGTCCACTGTTCGGGCATTCGTACAGGAAATTCTCGTCCAATTGCTCAGTTTTTCTTTTGTTTTCAAAATAACTTTAAAGGAGCGCATCACAGCTCGTAATTATTGTCGATACATTTTAGAGGGCCCATACGAGATGTCCCTTTACGGCAAAGAATACGAATATCACTGAACGGATGACTGTTAATGAGATGATGAATTACATGAGATGATTATTCTTGTAGGAATGAGAAAGGAAATGGCATCTCTTTGGCTTTGTCCTGCCTTTCGCCGGAGAGGCGTCGTATACGCTACTGCTGAGCTAATGCTGAGCTCGGCATTTAGCCGCAAGGCAAACTTGTACAACAAATTAACTTTTTTTTCTTTCTTTCTCTAACGATAAGCCAGTCCTCGTGCACACATCACCACGCTTCTTCTTGCTTTCTTCTTCGGTTTGGCAGTCGAATAATCTCTTAGTCGAGGGATGCGTGCGGCTGGGGAGCCCCCGGAGGAGCGCAGAGGCGCGCTGAGCTGAGGAGGGTGACGTGGAGGTCGCGGCCACGGCGCGCTCACGAGGCGTGGTCGTACGACTTGTACGTCTGTCCGGAGCGCTTGTGGCGCACCGTGCAGAACAGCAGCATCGAGGAGATGAGCCCAAACAGCTGAAACAGCAACAGGGGGCGCGGGTGGTGAGGCACGGCCGGCACGGCGCGCCGGAGAGGGCGGCAACCCATCGGGCTCCAAACGGCGCTCGCTCCAGCCCCCGCGGAGGGGGAAGGAGGGCGAAGCGACTTGAGCGAGCAGGAAAAAGGGGGGGGGGTATTGACGGGGACGCGGGGACACGCGGGCCGCGATGAACCACCCACCTGGATGAAGGCTACGACCAGCCCGACGATGCCGACGATGTGCAGCCGGTCGAGGAACCACATCTGGACCTGCTCCGAGCAGCCCTTGGGGTACCACATGTCCGCCGACCCGCTGTGCCCGCAGTCTGCAAATATTTTTCGCAATAAGCCGGGGGAGATAAAAGGCAACCAAAAGGCAGAAAGGAAAGTCCTTATTTATTTTGGGGGGGAGGAGAACCACCCCCGAGCGCGTTTTCCGTCTATGGCATGAACTCTCCATCCTCACACTAAATCCTTATGCATTGGGTTGTGCATAAACCGCGTAATGCAGAGAAGACACAGGTGCGGGCGGGTTGCCTATACCAAAGGAGCTATGGTGCCTTACGAGCAGAGCGGGTAGGCTAACCCGCCTGCACCTGCGTCTTCTCTGAATCACCCGGAACATGCAGAATTTGATACAGCCATAATATTATGCACAAAATTTGTGCATACTTATAGCTGTATAACATTCTGCATGTTTATGCACAATAAAATGCAAAAGGGTTGAGTACGCTCCACCCACCCGTGTTGTTAGCATAGTCCGGCAGGCAGCACGAGTTGGGCACCCAGCTCTCTTTGGGCCAGGCGCTGATCTTGTACCAGTCCGTGTACTCCACGACTCCACAGCAGCGGAACTGAGATAAATAAAAGAAAACATAGTCATTAGTGCAAAAAAATAATCAAGATTGGGACGTCATGTGCGATGTGAGCTGGTTGTGGTGCGCGCGTACCTCCTTGTGCACGTGGGACCAGAGGTTGTGCAGCGCGTTTGTGCTCGACGTGTTGTAGTGGTGGCGGATGCCGCTCTGCAGCTCCTCCACCATGAAGGCCCCCAGCCAGCTTCGGAAGGCGAAGGCCAGCGTGGCGAACATGAACTCCACCAGGAACATGACGATCACCAGACTGAAGTACTGCAAAAATAGGGCGACGACGTGCGAGTCAGTCGAGTCAGCGAAAAACCAAGGGGGTACTTCACTCAAGTAAAATCAGTGTACACCGCCCCC